TTAAAGTCACCGCAAGTCACAACAAGCTGTAGTATGCAGTGAATAGTGTATAATGTATCTACCTATCGCCATTATAATAGCAGTCTACATTTTAGTGCCATTAAAACGATTATTCCCTGTGTTAGAAAAATGTCTGGAAGTGTAAGCAAAAAATGGCAAACATTATTTAAAACAAAGCAAGATTTTCCGTATAGTAATCAAGAGTGAATTATTGATAAAAGTCAAATAACAAACTGTCATGTAGGGAATTTTACAGCAAAATTAAGAACGACCAAACTGCAAACAAATATAATTAATCAGTATAATGTCATTATGTAGATATACGTATTTATAGGTATTCATGTTAATTTGAAGTTGTTATGTTTTTGTTTACACAAATTCTATTTTATTTTTTTTTGTAAGAAAATATATTTGTTTCGTTCATATTACCTACATCAGTTATTTTTTTTGTTTAAATATATGTTGGCTTGTGTCATCTGAGCGTCATCTGAAACCGCCGAATCGTGCAGATATTGTAAACATATCTCGGACCGTTTTAGCTAAGCTTGCAATATGAGTCAGTCAGCGAGCCTACTTTGCTGTATGAAGTTGTAAATCAGTATTCGGAGGCAATAAACTAGAATTATCACGTTAATTGTGTTTCATTATATCTCGCTTTTTACTTCAAAAGCTAACATATATTATATTTCTTTCTGCTTCTTTTGTTTACTTGGTTTTTCAAATGTCCCGATTTTTTTTAGTTTGTCCCTTTTTTTATCGCTGTTTTAGCAGTAGTCCTGTTTTAACATACAACAGATCTGGCAACCCTAATTGGCAAAGATCTCCATAATAAAAAATGATGTGGAAATTTATTCCTATTTATTATTTGAGAGCAAATTAATAAAATATTCAAATAGTTGCGTATTATTTTTTATAAAATCTGAATGAAAATTGCGCTCGTGAGCATCAGTTTTTCTATAATATTGTAAATGCAACTAAAAATTTCCAGATGACCTTCCGTTTGACCTTCAAATTTTTTTTTGTGTACTATCTTTCACAGTTTTGATTTAAAAATTAGAATATTTGAGAATTTAGAATCTTACGATTCCAAATTTCTGAGAAATAAATAAATTTTGACAAAAATGTTTTATTTATCTTAATACAAAACAGTAAATTTACTTCTTTTTGGATACACCAACAGTACGTCCACGGCGACCAGTGGTTTTTGTATGTTGACCTCGCACACGAAGACCCCAATAGTGACGCATACCTCTGTGAGCACGAATTTTCTTCATACGTTCTAAATCTTCACGAAGTTTGGAATCTAATGTTGAGGAGGTTAACTATAAGTAAAAAAAAAAACAATATTTAGATGTTTATTTCGGAGAAGATAACATTGCGTAATTCGCACTTAATAGTAACGACTTATCTAAAAACTGTGATTTTGGGATAATTATTAAAATTATTTCAAGTATTTTTCTGCTTTAGACTGAAAAAATCCAAAATATCTAAGTCGGTTGAACGAACGAATGAAGCAAGATACAGGTTCGGAAAGTACCGATGGTCCATCTGCCGTTACGTGAGAGCGATAAAGTAAGACATAGAAATCCATGCGATAGAGAAGGATGGCTATAATGAAGGCGTCTCATAGTCACCGCCCGTTTGGCCCTTCCACAAATAAGATCCACTTCTTATTTGTAGAAGGGCGAAATGGGCGGTGACTATTAGACGCCTTCATTATAGCCATCTTTCTCTATTGCACGGATTTCTATGACTTACTTTGTCGCTCTCACGTAACGGCAGATGGACCACCGGTACTTTCCGACCCTGTATACTTATATTGTGTTTGAAAGTGTGTTATTAATTAATTATAATTTGATAATTTATATAGACAAGCGTGAAGAGAGTGTTATAGTGTTTACGAAGATAGTTGAAACCGTATAAAAACTAAAAGTCGACATCTCTTTATTGTGCAAGTCGGCATTTCTTTATTGCGCCCGGACAGTCCAGGCACACTAAAGAGATGCCAACTTTTAGTTTTATACGGTTTCAACTATCTTCATAAACACTATAATTTAAAGTGAATACTGTAGGACCTGTTTTTAATTGCATTGGAATGCATCTATTTATCTTCTAAATATTAGCTTTATTAATGTGGAAATGTCAAGGTGCGGTTTTTCTGTGTCTTCTATCAGCCGCAAACCGAGTGTTTCTTGTGATGGCCCTTGCAAAAAACAATTTCATGCTGTTTGTGTTAACTTTCCAAATGAAGCTATTTCATATTTGACGTCTATACACTATACAGGGCCTTTCCTGGAGGTGTAGTGCATGTCACTTGCTTGATTCTACTTTTTCTGATAAATGTTTCCGAGAAATTTTTGAAAATAAATGTGCCGAATTATCTAATGATCTCTTGTTTAAATTTAATTTATTGAAAGATGACTTCAAGACAAAATTTTATGATAAACTTTCATAGTGCCTACTGGTACTAATGCTGCTGCTGTTGCTGCTAACTTGCCTCAGTTTTCATATTCAGATAAATTACGTCAGGTACCTCAGCAAAAAATTGTGATTAAACCCAAAAATCCTAAACAGGCTAATGCGCTTACAAAAAATGACATTTTAGTTGCCGTTAATCCAGTTGAGACTGACATCACGATCAGTAATGTGAAGCACATTAAAGATGGTGAAATTCTCTTGGGTTATAATAATTCTGCTGAAGGTAATAAATTTAAGAAAATTGCTGTGGATAAATTATTTACTAATTATGAGGTCCATGAAGTAGACTCTTCAACCGCATATTAAAGTTGTGGGTATTTCAAATCAAGTCAGAGACGATAATCTTGTTGCATACATTAAAAAGCAAAATGAAGTTGTTTTTGATAATTCCTCTTAATGCAGTTATTCGGTTCTGGCCGACGAAGAAGAATAAGAAGTGGATACTTCCGTTTTTCATAAAGCGATTAAGCAAGGACATTTACTTATTGGACTTGATGGATGTACTGTTTATGATGCAATTTCAATGTCTCGTTGTTTTAACTGTAATGGTTATTTTCATGGAAAAAGATCATGTAAAAATAATACTACATGTCCTATCTGTTCACAAAAACATGATGTGAAACAAATTTCAGAAGGAAGTCAGTTGCGTTGTATTAATTGTGTCAACCTAAAAAACTCACAGGGTAGCGATATTAATATCTTGGGATTATGCTAATTGTGTTGCTTATAAGAGAGCCATTCGTAAATTGAAAGTTGACTTGTTTGGAACAGATATATGGGTGAATATACAGTACATATTTAGATTGCGACGGCCCATTAATAAATCTTATACAACAATTAATTAATTTATTGTCTGTATCAATGAAGTGATAAATAATATTTTCATTTATTTAGACCGCATATTCAAATTACGATAACTATTCACTTTAGGCATTTATATGATAAAATAGTGAAAAATATATACTCCCCTGGCTTGTCCCATTAGCAACTTTTACTAGAATTTTAAACATAATTTTTTTTTATTCGACAGCTACAATATTATTTCAATTATAATTATGTAACTAAATAAACGTAAAAACACATTTTCGCAAATTAAGTTGTAAAAATAATTATGAACATAATAATACTGATAAATTTTGACACCACCAGAAAAAAGTGTCACCCTCACCTGGCGAAATCACATGATCAAAATATCGGGTTACAATTACAAACACAGATCTTTGACTTTAAGCGATACGTATTGAATATAATGAATTTACCAACAAGCTAACTGCGTTGAGCCTATTCAATCTATAATCGCGTCAGTGGCTGTTATGCTGTCTTAGAGCTTGCTTGTGCCAGTAGCTGAAGCATTTCCCCTGGTATACATATATTTTTATATTTTATCATTACATAATTTTGCATTGATTAAAAACAATATTAATTGTGACCAGGAGTCATGAATAACTTTTAATTGTAGTAACAAGTACATGTACATAATTGTAATTCGAGGATATGTGCGATTTTGTCACTTCTCTGGCGTCAATCCTCTGGCAGTTTGTACGCCAGGGGAAACACATGTAATCCAGGGGAATGACAAAAAATGTAACTTGATAGTTAATATTTTAACACTTTATTTTACATGTTTTAATTAGTTGCTTATGATAAACATAAGCCAAATATCGTGATGAACGTCAAAAAAAAACAAACGAGAGAAGAGACTGGAAATTTGTCACTGCACTGTGCATAGTGTCACTCCCCTGACCATACATTTTCCCCTTGTGCCTATAAATCTTAAAAAATAGAAATATCTTCTGGTCCTTATCATTGCAGATACATAAATATTGCCAACTTGTGAAATAATTAATACTATATTAAATTGATTAACCTTTCTTTGGGGACACCGAAAATACATTTACTGTATAATCACCCATATAGCAACTATCTGACAATAACTTGTGGCCTTTAGGTATTTCTGCATCTATCCATTCTAATACTTTTAATAAACAGATTACTCAGTTAACGGTTTACTATCAGAATATGTGTGGTCTTAATGGTAAAATGGTTGAGTTGTTTAATAGTTCTGCTGCAAGTAAAAACCAGATTATAGCAGTAACAGAGAGTTGGCTTGATGTTAATGTTCATAATTTTTAATTATTTGATTCCTGAGATGTGACCGTAATTTTATTGATACTAACTTATCAAGGGGTAGTGGAGTCTTACTAGCAGTTGATTCGTCTTTATCTGCAACGGATTTGTGTCTGAAATCTGATATGCAGTTCAATGAACTGTATTTGATTGATATTATTGGAATTCAAATTAAAATTAACTTTTATTCATATTACATAATTTTATTCTATATTCCACCAAATACCTCCTTAGAGTGTTATAATTCAATTTTTGAAATTTTAAGTTCATTAAAATTTATCTACAGTAGTAATATTCTTTTAGTTGGGAGATTTTTATTTTACAGAATATTCAACATACTAACAGACTGCTGAACAGTCCAGTCAAGTAAATTCGTTATTAAATTTCTGTAACTTCTTAGAATGGGATCAGTACAATTTCACTAATAACAGTTATGGTAGAATACTTGATCTTCTGCTTTCTAATATGCAATGCTCTGTGCATGGTGCTGTTGATGCTTTAGTTAAGGAAGATTTACATCATCCTTCTATTATAATTTTTTTTAGTGGAAAAACCGTATAAATGTAAAAGTGAATTGGTTGATGTTGAATTTTATAATTATCGGAAAGCTAATTTACTTGAGCTATATACTGAACTAGCATCTACCAATTGGTATTGTTTGCAAGATTATTCTGATATTAATTAAGCCTTTTGTAATTGTTATGATAAACTATTTTCTCTAATTGATAAATATGTCCCTAAAACTACAACAAAAGGTAGAAACTATCCACCTTGGTTTACTAAGAATATTATTAAAAGTATTAAATTAAAGCATAAAGCTTTGCGTGATTATAAAAGATTTGATGACCCTCTAGCTTGCCAGGAATTTGAATTTTTACTAACATATATAAAGAATGAAATTAAATGTGAATACTTGAAATAATGTCGTAACACAGAACAGTATTAAAATCAATCCCAATAAATTCTGGCAATTTATCAATATGAAAAAGAATAACAACAGCTTGCCAAGTACAATGCATTACCACGATAATTCTTATGAAGGTACTGCTGAAGTGGTCGAGATGTTTGCTCAGTTCTTTAGTAGTACTTTTATTAAGTCCAGTTTTATTTGTCGACTCATAACGGATACAGCCACTGCATTGTTTCAACTGAATCAGTTCACAGAAACAGAAGTGATGGGCCCAGATAAAATCCCTACATTTGTACTTAATGATTGTGCCTGTGTTTTAGCTATACCTCTTACCATCTTGTTTAATTTGTCTATTATATGTAATACTTATCCTAGTGTATTAAAAAACACTAAAGTAATTCCTGTTTATAAACAAGGTGAAAGAAATAAAGTTGAAAATTATAGACCTATAACAATTGTCAATAATTTTTCTAAAGCTTATGACTTTCTTCTATATGATTTTATTTTTTCATTTGCAAAGAATCGAATAAGCGAATATCAACATGGTTTTTTTAAGGGCAGATCCACCACCTCCAACCTTCTGTGTATAACTCAATATATCTCGAGTGTTGTTGCAAATTTATAGAATTTCTATATATATTTTAAATATTTTGATTGTCATAAATAAAGAAAAAGAACGTGACATTCTCAAACAGATTTTTTGAAAAATATATATAATTTTGTTAACAGTACCGAAATCTATAACGAATACGTGTGCTACTAATCATCACTCTCATTTTGAACTCTCGTGTTGCTGCAGACGGGTAG